ATGTATTTAACTTTATTTTAACCCAATGGACAAATGGGGAGTGTTTGTTTTTCTCATCTAATTGCATTTTATTTAGTTTTAAGGCCCAAGTCAACCTTTTCTTTGCATTTTGGGACCTCCCCATCTTCCAACAAGCTAAGTTCTTTATCAGTGTATTGGCTGCTTTGTAAGAGCCATAACATATAAAGTGAGATATAGAGTGGAACCCTAGACACCTGGAAAAATTAATACCTAACTCCTTAACATCCACAACTGTAAGCTGTGTAGCTGCCATTGCACAAAAGTACATTTTCCATTATCAGAAATAATGAACCATATTTCCCCAGTACCCACTTGACTAGGGTAATACATTTGAGGCTTTGTGGTAGAAATTAATGATCTTAGTAGTACTCCAGTGGCCTAGAATCCTTAATGAACATCCCTAAACGCTTTACCTAACACTGATAAGAGACATGGGCACTGTGGGGAAAAAAAGCCCATAATTACTTAGCTTTCTATTTAAATCATCTTACAAATTGTTTAGTCTCTCCTTACATAATTTGCAGTATAGACTTCTTCATTCCTGAACCTGTCTTGGTGTTAAGGATGTCACATGCCCCGACACACGTGGTTGGAAGGGTTAGGGAAGAAAAGGTATTTAGAAAGTATCCTCGTGCCCAGTAGCTCACATTCCACATGAGAAATGAGTCTTTGGTGGAGCCAGTTTATATGTCAGTGGCCACCCACCCGCTCTGGTCTATCAAATGCTAATGGAAAATTATACTGAGCATTTGAATGGGCTAGAGCTCCACAGATAAGAAATCACTGCATATTTAGTCATTTTACAAACTGCCTCTATCTTCAGAAAATTAGGCTTGTGCACTTTCCTTCCTACCAACCCAATTTTTTTTTTTTCAACTTAGTTTGGAAGTCACAGGGCAGAATCTGATTCATACCATTAACGTCTCTTTGTTCTTGGTTCTACTGCTTTCACAAAAATGCTGTAGGCACTTCACTAGAATGACTAATTTACTGGAGAAGTCATCAGAGTCCATTCAGTTGCAACCATAAAATAATTCAAGGAAGACAATGGTGCCTGCTAGCACTCCATGGCAAAGGTTTGTCCCTGAAGTGATTTGATTCACCCCAACATATTTATCCATGAAGTTAAAGATCTGGAATACCCTGTTCATAATCTGTCATTCTTGTTATGAATTAAGAAATGAAAAATAGAGATTTTTTGTAAAGGTAAAACAAAGTCAAAACATTTTGCACACTGCTCAACTGAATTCTGCATCACAAAATTTAAATATTTTAAATATTATTTATATTATAATATTTAGAAGTAAAATTACCTTAGTTTCAAATGAAGTTCTTTGTTGTACTGTTCTGGTAAGTGTGAAATATTCAAGAATCCATGTATATATACTTGCTTGGCCATTTTTAATTTTTAAAGAACTGTTATTCATCATGAGCATAACAAGAAACACCAATAAGCTGAGGCTTAGAATGTAAATATAATAAAATAGAAATTGTTGTGTTTGCCGTTACTAACACAGTGCTGAGTTACCCGATGTACACCCTTCCAGTGAATTCTGCTGGAGAGTCTACATTTTACACTAACTCACCCAACATCAGTTGGGATTTTCTTCCAGTACCAAACTCTCGAACACTTCATAACTGATTTTATCCATAATGAAACAGAGGAAATTTAGTCCTCAAACAGCCATTCGATATTCAGAATTGTTTCCTCACAGTATTAAAAATAAAGGAATGGCACTGGATTACCGTAAATAGTGGTTGTCGAAACATTCCAACTTTTAGCATCTATCTTTTTAGGAAACTGCTACTCAAAGCCAAATGCAGTAAAAAGATAATAAAAGAAGACTCGAATGTAAGCAGATAGATATGATAGAAGAATAAAAAGACTAGAATAGTGACAGAATGCAGTGCTCTCTGTCTCAAAATTTTTAATATTGTTTCTGTTGCTCCTCCCCCTGGTATAATAGAGCCCATGCGGAGGGGGTTGGGAAAGATGAAACAGAAACATTGCAATGGCTCAGAAATGTCAGCCCAAACCTCAAAAGAGTGTAATTCCATAAAAAGCCCTCATGCCCTGAGCCCAGTTTCCAAGCCCAGCTTCAGCTCTCACTCCTCCCCCATTTCCCTCATCCTTTGCAAAAATATTGAACTATTTTAAATTCTCTAAACATGACTGGCCTTCTCATATCTCTTTGCCTTTTGGAATAATGTATCCTCTTCCCTGCTTCTGATAAATTCCTGTTTGACTAAGTTTTAGCCCAAATATAACTTCCTCTGGGAATCTTTCTCTTACTGCCCCAGAAAACCTAGATTCTCTTTCCTTTATGTTCCCACCATGTGTTATACAAGATACATTATTAGAAATGCTCTCATTTTATTCATTTTACCATAATTGTGTGCATATTTTCCTCCCCACTAAGCACTTTTTTTGAGAGAAAGAATTATATCTGATTCAATTTTATATCCCTAACATTTTTTACAGTGCCTGGCACGCTGTGGATGATCAAGAGATTTTTTTTTTTAAGAATAAAATGAGAGAATTAAAATAACAAAGTTATGAATTCTGCCTGTAGTTTCATGAAGAATGTTTTGAAATGGGAAATACAAAAGTACATATAAATAGGGTTTTTATGAGTATTTCTAAGTAGAGACTTCAAAATGGCAACTCCAGAAACAGTAAGAATTGTCATGAGACCAAAGCCAATACAGAGAGAGAGAAAGAGGACTCAATACTGATCCATAGGAGCTCTACTTTTTACAAATTTTAGAGGTAAGTAAAGAAGGAGAAAGAGTCAATCACAAAAGAGATAAGAATAAAGCCAGGAATTGTCCTGGAAGCCATGAAAAGATTCCTTCATGAGGGAGGAAATGGTCACCTCAGGGAAATGTTGCTAAGAAGTCGAATAAAATTAGCACATAAAAGTGTCCCCTGGACTGGACCATATGGAGACTTCTGGTGACTTTAGGCAAGCAATTTGTTTTCAGTGGTGGAATGAAAACTAGATTAGATTAGAGATTAAAAGGAAATGCAGACACCACACACAATTAAATATTTTGAGAAGTTTGGTTGAAAAAGGGAAGAGCGAAATGGAAAGGGTTAGCTAAAAGGAATGTGAAGCCAAGAAAGAATTGTTTTTAGTAGGGAAGATATGAATGATCCATTATAGAGAGGGAAAGATTGGTATCACAAAAGAGAAGAGACAACTAAAGAAACAAGGCTGTTAAGTATTTGGGAGAAGGTGGGATTCAGAGCACAAGTAAAGATCTTGGCTGTTGGTCAGAGTAGGTTCGCTCTACCCACTAAAGAGGGAAGAAGCAGGGTGTGGAAGCAGGGAGGTTCCTAGAAATGGGAGCAGGAAGATGAGAGCTAATTTCATGCCAAAGCTCAGAGTCATATTTAACACCATGTTCTTCAGCTCATGCTGAAAGGCTGCAGCTTACATCTGTGTCAGTCAGGATAGGCTATGTTTGCAGGGTTCACAGACAACTGCAAAATCTCAGTGGCTAGCAATAACAAAGGTGTGTTTCTCACTCACGCTACTGTGCATATGACAAGTCAGCCATAACTTGGCTCCACTTTGCCCTTTATCTGGACTTTAGCTGATTGTCATGCAGAGAAAAAAGAAAATAGGCAAAGTATGCCCTGGATCTTCAAGCTTCTGCCTGGAAGTGACTCACCTCGGTTCTTCTCGTATTTCATTGGCCAAACCACATCAAAAGGCCATATCTGCATTAAACAGGACAGAGACATATAATCTTCCTGTAGGAAGCCACGGAACACGGGTGAAGAGTGGCACAATCTATGACAAGTCTTATAGATGAGATAGCTCCTTCATGTCTTTCAGTTAAAAAGTCTCAGGCAAAGTTAATATCCCCAGTCATGGATTCTTCATCCTATGACTATTTATTCTCCACGTCTACACTCAGCAGACTGAAATGACTAGAATGACCAGTGTGTTTTAGAACATTTGCTGGGCTACTGCCACCCTCTAAACTGCCATTCCAGCTATAATTCCAGTCATCCTGATGGTAGATGATCCCAGGCAATTTCTACCATTTGCTCATTCCGTCATTAAGATCCATGCCTGCCATAAAGGAAATCGCTATACTTCCTACATGATAAATGGTTAAAATATACTTTTTATGTTGACATTCACGTGGCTGAATATCTCCTAGGTGTAAGACAACTATAGGAAACCTTATGTGTGAAATCTGGGTGTTGGCTCCTATATTAAAGGATTTTCGCTTTTTTTGAGAAGGAAGAAACACTATTGAGAAATTCTCTCCTTTGAAATGGTGCCTGAAGTGTGCCCTTTTTATTCAAAACAGAATAACCACTAGGAAAAAAAAAAAAAAAACCCTATCACTTTGTTAATTAATGAGATGATTGCACAGGATGGACACATTGGGGAAACACCGTGAGATTAAGCCTTGTTCTGCTAAGGTTCAAACTGCAGACAGATCATTTTAAGTTGTAGAATTCAATGACAGATCAGAGAAAGAAAGCAAGGTTGAACTAGTTCATCTATAAATGAAGAAATATAAGGTTTCCATAGCCTCTTCCATAAATTAAAACAGCCTCGTTGGTAACTGACCAGCATAGCAGTAAGAGAGCAGAAAATTTTCTAGCAAATATGGTTTACCCTTTAAACAAAGTTCCTCATGGTATTTTCCTATATTTAAAATGATTCCTGTCCAGGGCATATTGCTACTTTGTATTCCTCTTGATATTTTCATTTAAAAGAGAGCCGCTGTGCAAAATAATGTCCTTGTCTGTCCCTTCCTCATACAAACCTCCAATCAAATTTAATAAAGCTAGTTTGATACAATGCCAGCCTACACTTGGTTTACCCTTGGTCGACTTTAATAGGGTCAAAAATATTTTCGCATTGGCAGTGCACGCATTAATCATTTTTCCAGAGGATTTAGAAAATTGGAAGAGACAAGGCCAAGCAAAATTTTAAATTAATTGGGCCTACCCCAGCCTTCCAGGGTCACCTTGTGGCAGTTGTCCCACATTTTCCAGGTCACGGAGTTCCTGTGTTTCCTACAGCTGCCATGAGGAGAGATCCAGGCTGTGGGCACACAAAGGTGAAAGAATTTCTCTCAGAAAGTGCGAATTTTCCTACGGCAACCACAACAATTGCAGTTTCCAGATTGTCGCCAGACACCAACCACTTAAATAATGCATGCTCGGCTGACGCCTCCACTTGTGCATTTTCTAATCGAGTAGTCAGGAAAATTTGCAAACACTCTGTCATTTACCATAAATCCGCTGCCTACTTATAACCACAGAGTAATTAATTTTAGTACTGCTCAGAATTATTAATTTCAGCCAGAAAAAAAACCTGTTTTCACAATTGCTGTATCCCCCATTTTTTTCCTCCACCAATATTCGTCAAAAGGTTGAAGCAGTTTTCTTATAGGGGAAGGCTTATTCAGAGTAATGTTATTGAGAGTCTATATGATAGCAAGACCAGAATCTGTATTTCTGGTTCTAATCTACGATCTTGTGCTCACGCGTGTCTGGTGGATACACCACATGAAGGTGGCAACATAAACTAAACTTTCTCATGACAGTGGTGATGCGGTAGCCCCGAAGCCTCACTGTGTGGTAAGCAGCCCCCCTCCTGCTTTGGTTCTTCTACTAGAAGGGAGCAAAGGGTTACACCCTCCGTGCAGAAAACAATTTGAGCCTTTTGAGAAAATCAGCAAATATTTTTCACTTGCTTAAATGATTTTGGCATTTGACAGAAGAGAGAGTAAGAATTTTTACCAAGGATAAGAATAACTTATAGTGGAATACACAATTATGAATACACTGGTATGAAAATCTCAGCAATCACATGTATATCTCACGCACATGGAATGAAAATTGAGCATTAAATATGGTGCGCTTTACCTTGGTAAAGCTAAATCTGGTCCCCTCTCATTGGATATGAGTCTCCTGCTAACGCAGCTGCATGCTATGTCACAAGAATGTCCACATTATAAATACATAATGAGCATGAGAAAATCGGTACAGCTTTGTTTGACTAATAACCAGATCTCTCCCTATCAGTAGCAGGAACACAGAGCTAGCTCAAGTATTGGCACTTTAATTGCCATGGAAGATTTCGTTTCCGCTTTCCACTGCATGAGCGATCAAGAAAAAAATGAAGGGAAAGTAAACTAACATCTAGAGATGTAAACATGACTCACTGGGAAATCAGACATGGTTAAGTAAATTCCAGGATGTTTGTGGTTATCTGGGTCTAAACACTGCTGATAGTTCTGACTACTCTTGTTTTTAACTGTTTTTCCTCCGGGTGCTTTTAGGCCAAGGGCTAAGACTTCAAAGACTTCAACCTTTTGATTATGAACAGTCTGACTGTTGCATAGCAAGGAAGAGATGTCAGTCAGTATTAATGAAATTATCTGGTAGAGTGTAAAATGCTTCGCCAAGACCATGATCTAGTCAAAAAAACTAATGATTTAAAAGCAGGGTCGACCTGTCATGATGAGCGCTGGGTGATGTAGAGAATTGTGGAATCACTACATCGTACACCTGAAACTAACGTAACACTGTGTGTTAACTACCCTGGAATGAAAATAAAAAATAAATCAGGAAACAAATAAACAAATAAAAGCAGGGGTTGAAGAAAACCTGACACTGTTATACCATCTTTGCCCTGGACCTTGACTTTGTAATACAGTAGGGTCATTCTGAGGTGACATGACGACTCTTCTATTAAAAGTTGAAGTTCCTAAAAAGAGATCAAGTTACAGATACGTAGAGAAAGATCATAAACGAGAAAAATACGTCAGAAGGGAAATGCTTCAAAACAAGAGGTGCTGGTTGGCCTTACGAACTACTTGGGGCCCTTGAGGCATTTGACACACACTCCTGTGGAGAGCAAAGAAGCTAAAACTCTCGCGCCTGGAGTGGGGCCCGGGCTCAGCAGTCGCTGCATCACCTGGGAATCTGTTAGAAAGGGAGATGCTCAAGGCCCACCCTCAACTACTGAATCAGAAGCTCATGTTAAGGAGATCCGGGAGATTCATGGGCCCACGAATGCCTGAGAAGCACTGGTCTAAAGCATAGCTGTGGAAAATTTCACAGATATAATACAAATCATTGTGAAGAATCAGCTTTCCATCTCTAGTTCAAGCTAACAAATTACTTTCCGGGCCTGCACTTCTTTATTTCCCCCAGGTTTTCCACACACGAAAATAATGTTGTTCCAGACATGGATACGACGAACCTATCTTCAATAAACTAACTTGTATTTCATGTCAAGGGTGGGCCCACTTGAAAGAAGAGAAGCATTGTATACTTATGAGTCAAGCAAAGGAAAAAAATAAAAATAAAAGGAGCTAACATCTCCAAAGTGCTATTAAAGTTTCTGGTTTTATATCCCATTGAATTTCTTGTCTCTTTTGATCCAGCCTCTTGTTTAGAGTGGTAGATTTGGCAAACATGCCTTTGGAGCTGTAATCTTTTATCTTCTTGGTTACAAGGCAAAGCCCTGAATACTCCCAAACTGATGAAATAAAATCCTTTCTTTTTTTTTTTCAATCCTTAAATTTCCTGGGCTATGATAAAGGTTCACGAGAGAAAAAAATTTTTATCAGTATGATAAATAATTGAAACATTGTGTAAGTAATCCAGAAAAGAACAGAGTTCAACCCCATTAATTAGTCATTACAAACTACTGACTTGTACAATAATATCAGTGGTGTTTCAGGCATAAAAATATTAGGGAGTTATGTCCAAGATATGGAATTAGTATACAGGACTTTTCATAACACATGATTTTTTTTTTTACTGGAAATATTTGTTACTGAGTTGAGGTACAATTGAGATATTATGTTGCTCAATATTACTCTTCTCTATTAATCACAAACATTCAAACTTTAATTCATGATATTTTGTTCAAAGCAGCACTGTGCTGATCTTCACTGTATTTTGACAGCAAACTGAATTCTTGTTCACAAGTATAGGATTTGTTTAGCTTCGGGCATCTGTGTTTGGATTACAAGAATGCTGATTGGCTCATTGCCAGGGGCACCCAAAGGTCAAACTGTCCTTTTAAAAGTCAGTGTATCTGTCTCTCTCTCTCTCTCTGTCTCTCTGTCTCTGTCTCGCTCGCTCGCTCGCTGTCTCTCTCTCCTTGGTCTCATTAATCAGAGCTAAAAGAGGAAAAGGCAATGACTCCAAATCATTTAATTCTTTTTCAAGGGTATCTTTAAAAGCAGAACACAGTGTTGGTGTGAGGTCAGGTCAACGTGAGTACAGATCACACTGGCACACTTCTGACAGGTGACCTGAAACCTTTCAAACTGACATCTGTCACAGAGACAGACACAAGTTTTTTAGCTCGAGAGCTTGTTTTCCTGACATTTCATTTTTCATCAGATTTTGAGAGAAGGGAAAAAAGATGAACTTGAAAAAGTCTTGCCAGGGGCAGAAAATAAGATCAGGTTTTCTGCAGCTGCCTGACTCGCCTTTAAAGGTTAGAGGTCTAGCAAAAGTGAACAAAAAAGATCTCGGTTTGATGTTATTGGATAAAAGGACATGTTACTACTTTAAATACATTTCTGAGACTTGCATAACCATTAGGCAGCATTACAGGGAAAAAATGGAATCAGAGTGAGATTACATATCCATTTTAAATCCCAATTTTAGAGTTTAGTCATGGAGTAAATCAAATCCAACCTCACCTATTCATCTGGCACAAAAGATGAAATCCACAGGTGCATGAATTTTCTCATGAATTGAATAATTTCCTGGTCCTGTGGTATTGAAATGGCCAGCGAAATTTAGACAAGGTATAGAAACTCTTCCTTTGGACTAGAGGGATATCTGCATTACAATAGTTACATGGTTTATCTTGACTGAAAAACATTAGGGAAATATATCTATTGGATAATAGAGAAAAGAACTTGAAGTCCAAAAAATACCTGGGTTACAGTCCTGGCTCTACCAAAAGCATGATCTGGGGCAAGTGACACTTCAGTTTCAGTTTTATCACCTGTAAATGGGGGAAACGATATCTATCTTGTCAAAGTTTCACAAGATAATGTATTAGTATGCTGCCAAATATAAAACACTGTATTGATGAATAGACACTGTATTTTCCTCACCTTTTTTCTTTTTTTTTAATCTGGCGCTTAACACAGATCTTCCTCAACTTATGATGGGGTTATATGTGAGAACATCTTAGGGTGAAAATGTATTTAATTCGCCTAACCTGCCAGACAACATAGCTTATAGTCTCGCCTACCTTAAACATGCTCAGAATGCTTACATTAGCCTATAGTTGGGCAAAATCACCTAACACAGAGCCCCTTCTATACTAAGGTGTTGCATATCTCATGTAATTTTTGATGACTGTACTGAAAGTGAATAACAGAATGGCCGTAGGGGTACAGAGTGGTTGTGAGTGGATGGGTTATTTGCCCTCCTGATCGTGTGGCTGATGGAGCTGCCACTGCCCAGCATCAAGGAGGGGATGACCCCGCATATCACTAGTCGAGGAGAAGATCAAAATTCAAAAAAGTACAATTTCTTCTAAATGCATATCACTTGGCACCATTGTAAAGTCAAAAAATCATACATCAAATCACTGTAAGTCAGGGACTATGTGTACAGTAATTGACATGAAATTAGCATTCATTCAATAAGTGCCTCCGGATTTAAAATGGAAGGTAGTACTTTCCTTATTATCAGAAAACCAATTTTTTTTTAATTGAGTCCAGGAAATTTTTCTACAAGGAACAGCACAGTTAAAGGTTGGGAAATGTATTCCTACAGATTATCTGCAAATATGGATACAGGAGGAATAACTTTGGAATTCGCTAAGAGACTGAGCCCATATGATTTTCAAACTCAAGGAATCAGGCAAATCAAATGTATTAGAATAGAATGTCCATATTTCCTAAAATAATGGCTCACATATTGCTAACTAGCCAGTGTTCCTCTGAGTAATCAAATGAGGAGTTTTCAACCATATTGCTCATTGTCGTAAAGAATCTGAGAACATACAGAATTTACTAGCTAAGTAATAGGAGTGAAATAGATTTTTGATCTAGCC